CTTGAAAAATAAATGCTGGAGCTCAATATGATAGAATTAGTTTTACCTTTTTTTCATACTTGCATTCTACATGAGAGAAGACAACTTTTCAATAATAAACAATGTCTAAAATATCAGTTTTTTTCTGTAGCTAAAAGGTTAGAGATCAGTGTGAAAAACTGATTCAATGGATTATTAATTAAAGATGTTTTTTTTATTACAAAAATATTTCTTTTGTGATCTTAATAAATTGCTATACTCGATATAAATCATATGCAGCAAGAATAGAGAATAAATAAATATTATATTAAAAAGAAACTGACATTTCAGTCCATTTATATAACCATCATTAAAGTATGTGTATTAAACTGATGGTTTGTTTACGGTATTATTGTTTTCGTTTGAAATATTAGATAATAATGCATGGAGGATACCGAAAAAACATTCATCGGTTACGTTTTATTTTGAAGGTCCAATCTAGTTGATGGTTATATAGGACGACAGATAATGAATTACTTATCATTTTGATTCTAAAATCGAGATATTTTCATTCGATTATACCTGTAAAGAGGGTGTATCTTTACAACATACTAAATGGGCAATTAGTCTTTGATACTGGTCAGCAATGTGAGCACTTGTTTGACGGAAAATTAATAAAGGTAAAGAGTGATTCAAAGTTATTCTGATAGCCCTTTATTCAGTCTACATTTTCATAATAGAACCATTCAATTTAGAATCATGTTTTGAATCTACTAAAGAATATAGAAATCTTGCCATACTTACATTTTGAGTTTGAAATATCCATGTGCATTTCATTTGTTGTTTAACTATATTTATATTAATGAAACTTTCTTCACGCCTAGTTCACTTCGGAATGAATCAACTTTTTCAAGCTTTACAAAACAAAATCCTTTTTACGGTCTAAACAAGTGAGCTAACTAACAAAATTGTTAATCCATTATTCTTGAAACTCAATTTTCAACTTTTTCATCTGATATTCGATGATTTTCAAACAGAACTATATGTTTTTCACTTCAAATAAATATTATATTTGCAATCAACATAAGAAAATGAGTCAAATTAGGTATGCTTGAAATTTTTTCTTCGACGTTTTCTTTCTGATCAAATTTTCACATCTGCACCGCACCCCCTCAGGGATATATGAAAAAGTGAATTTAATTAAAAAGTCATTGTGGATAGTGGAAAGCAAATTCTAAGCTTGTACAATGCGATTTGAAAACAAAAGGACAGGTGACTAAACAATAAAATAGTTGTTTTGATTAAATTCATTTTTTTCACATATCCCTCCGGGTACAGGTGTGAAAATTTGATCAGAAAAAAAGTTGCATAAAAAGGTTGAAGTATAAAGAAGCCGACTCATATTGTTGTGTTGATTCCAAATATGATATTTATTTTAAGTGAAATGTGTATTATACTGCTTGAAAACTGTCAAATATTAGATGAAATAATTGAAAATAAGACCATAAGAGTAACTGACTAAGAATTTTGTTAACTGAGGCACTTTTTTGTACATCGTACAAAGTTGCTCGTCGCTGTAGCACAATAAAAAGATTTATCAATTACGAAATGAATTAAGTGTGAAGGAAGTTCCATTAACACAATAATAATTAAACAACAAATAGAATACACATGGATATTTCAGACTCAAAATGCAAGCATAGCAAGATTTCTATACTTCCTAGTAAATTAAAAACATTATTCTAAATTAAATGGTTCTATTATAAAAATATTGACTGAAAAAAGGGTTATGAGAATAACTTTGCATCATTATTTACCTTTATTGATTTTTCGTCAAACAAGTGCTCACATTGCTGATTATTATCAATAACTAATTTCCTATTTAGTATGTGGTGAATATAGACCCTATTCAAAGCTATGATCAAATCAAAATGATTAGAGATTTATGATATGTCATTCTATGTGCGGCTCGATTAGATTGGATTTTGACAATAAAAAGGAGCAAAGATGTGTTTTTATGCGCCTCTATTCTTTAACTTGATAGATAAATATATATGCTGAAATAACGACTAATACCAGATGGATTTTAAGTAACATAAATATCACGACCTACATTGAATACAAACAGCATGGCCTATAGAATGAAATATAAATAAACCGAAATATCAGTTTATCGCTATCGATTTATTCTTTATTTTTATTGTGTATTATTAATATTGATTTACTTAAGGAAAAACATGTCTTTTAATCTTGTTAGTAAACCATATCCAATCTTATATGAATCACTATTCCGTTATTTACTTTTTCTATTATTGAAAGTTACAGATCATTAAGAGACATCATTCTCGATTGATTCGATTTTTAATCGAATACATTTAACTTTGGCATTGATATTAGTTTAACAATAACATAATAGTCAGACATAGTTTCTAATACACATTTGATCACGTCTAAATTTGCATTTAATCACATCTGGATCTTTATCTTTTTTTTTTTATATCAGTCACAATTGGTAACAGCATGTGTTAGTTTTGTCTACCATTTTCAATCTTCGCCAACAAGAGACACTGCCACGTCACTATTTTCTTCCGTTGTCTTACAAACCAGCAGTTTCAACTGACTCATAAATTATTATGAAACATTTGTTAATCAATTCTTGTAAAAATTCAACAAGTTTCATTAGGAATGTGTGAGCTTCAACTGATTGTCTTCTGAATAACTTTATTATTCACGTGAATAAACAATGATACTATTTACAAGAGAATGAGTGACAATGTATTGTCGTATATTCTATTCGAATTTTACTCAAGCAGCACATGTCAAAAATATGAGAATCTTATTGCTTTGCTTTTTTCGAAATTTTACATTCAAACAAAAAAATCAATTGTCTTTAATGAGCATGCCTTATTCCAACATATCTTTATAATACAAAAATATATCAGCGATCAAGATTATGCCTTAACAGTATAACTGTAATTCTTATATTTATGAATCTTGTGATCACAACGAAATAAGATCAGACATAATAACTTAATGTAAAAAAAAAAAACATTATATTAAAAATAAATTCTTCGCTTAGTATGAAACACACTACTTTTTATAATTATAATAATTTTTAAAATGCAAAACTATGAATCAAACTATCCATTGTTTAATTAAATACTGATGTTCAATTGAACCAATGAATATCCACAAAACAACTGTCTAGAAAGTGGAGAATAGGAACTAGACATGTATTAATAACATTTTGTTCGAATCCTTTCTGTTATGAAATTATCCACAGTCTAGAACTTAAATTATGTAAATTTTTATTAAGATGACAAAAATATGAACAAATCTTTAACTGAAAAATGAGATATCTCATAAAGATGAACGATAGTCAGTTGAAATTATGCAAGAGATTTTTGGACTCAAAAATAAGTGCTAATATGAGATGAGGACAATATCCAATATTGAAACACTTATAAGATCTGAACTACTTATGAGAAGCCTTCGTCTGGTGGTAAAAGGTTTACTTCATACTTCTTCTTTCAAGATAATTGCAATATATCTCCCTATGTTTCTAAACTGTACATAAACTTTTAAGATGATATCGCCTGACAAAGCCGTATAGAAGTTTTTCTCAATTCTTTCGAAGTTCGATAGTTTCCCAAACAAAATTATAACAATAAACACGGTTTAACATATTTGTACTAAAATTCATGAAGTACCAATGGCAGAGGAATGTGTGAATGAGAAAAGTATGGAGTAAACCTTTTACCACCAGACGAANCTAGACATGTATTAATAACATTTTGTTCGAATCCTTTCTGTTATGAAATTATCCACAGTCTAGAACTTAAATTATGTAAATTTTTATTAAGATGACAAAAATATGAACAAATCTTTAACTGAAAAATGAGATATCTCAAAAAGATGAACGATAGTCAGTTGAAATTATGCAAGAGATTTTTGGACTCAAAAATAAGTGCTAATATGAGATGAGGACAATATCCAATATTGAAACACTTATAAGATTTGAACTACTTATGAGAAGCCTTCGTCTGGTGGTAAAAGGTTTACTTCATACTTCTTCTTTCACGATAATTGCAATATATCTCCCTATGTTTCTGAACTGTACATAAACTTTTAAGATGATATCGCCTGACAAAGCCGTATAGAAGTTTTTCTCAATTCTTCCGAAGTTCGATAGTTTCCCAAACAAAATTATAACAATAAACACGGTTTAACATATTTGTACTAAAATTTATGAAGTACCAATGGCAGAGGAATGTGTGAATGAGAAAAGTATGGAAGTTAATTTTTGATTCATCGGTAACTATCAAAGTTCTCCAACAGTTTGAAAACTCCAATATATCGGATTTTATGCACTTCTATGCTTGTAAACGAATCTAATCATAGTTACAACACAAAAAAAGTTGACCACAATAAAAACATCGCCTCCGAACTTGTGACTAGTGCAACAAATTGGAAGCCTAGTGGACAATTACTCTCCTGAGCGAGAGACAGGGCATGGAAATTAATAAATAAATGCTTATGTTTCCCTTAGTCGTCTATCTTGTCGAAGTATCTACGAGCCGACTAAAAGTAGACCCTAACTCGGATAAGTTTTGTAAAAACTATTCAGATTTATAAATAATTTTCATCACATCAGACAGAGATAAAATCCACCTGGATTTTTCACGACCAATGCCATCTGGAGTAGATCAGACTCAATCGGTCAGTAACCGATACAGATCCATCTCTGGCATCAATATGGATTATGATCCGTGCAAAGAATCAATCAAATTTAATTATTATCGCAAATACATGTGTTTTTCGAGATTTCAAATGAACGCATTCTAAAGAATATAGAATTGCTTTAAGAAAACTTTTAAAAGTAATTCGATAATAAAAAGAATGCAACAACGAAAATTCTCTTTCATTGTGAATGGCAAAAAAAAGAAAATTAATAAAACTTTCAATGTATGATTTCATTTTTTAATCATAAACAACAACAATGACAATGAATCGTTAGACTATTTAAACAATTGAGATAATTTTTATTCAATTTCTTTTGCAAGTTCTTCAATTAATGAATCAAGTGATTTTGAATATTTACATCCCAAACATCGCATATTGACATAACATTCTAAAATATAATAAAATAATTTCTTTTTAATGTATATTTAAATCTACTAACGAGCTAAACATAATAAACGATCTTCATCATATTTATCCCAATACTTTTCAAGAAAATGTTTTCGTAATTCCCATTGGTTTTTACTTTCGGTTGGTAATCGATATTTATTTTCCAAATCTTGGGATGTTTGTTTTTCATTATCTGTCTTCAATTTTGTATCCATTCAAAACAAATAAAAACAAGTATAATTATTATTATCTGAAATAAATATTTGTCTGTTTTATTCTTTTTCAACTCGTAAGTATGTTTCTATTTATCAAAAACAAAAAAAAAGAAATGAAATAACCTCACAAAAAGTTATGTACAAGCACACATCAAAAAATGACAAGTTCCTGAGAGACTAAAGGCACAAAATAGATCGACACCAAAAAAAGAAAGTAGAGCACAAAGAAAAAAAAAATTTAAGACCGAAAACAAAAAACAAACTGGTTTATCTATTTCCTTTTTTTTTATTTATCTTTTCGACTAGAAGAAACAAATGATTGTTGAATATTTTGTGACAAAGAGAAAAAAAACAATAAATAATAATCATACAAAATCAATTGTTCACTGACTGACGTAAAGCATCATATTCAGCTTTTAATGCATCACGTGTTGCTTTTAATTCCATTAATTGTTCAGGTGTCGGTACCTTGGAAAACAAAAACAAAATGTAAAATTAATAATTTAGAAAAATTAATTCTTACATGAACATCAAGATCACGACAAATAATTGTTAATGGATTATCATGCCATTCATTTTGATTATACATACGTTGTAAACTATCAAGAATAGCTTGACGAACATCAGGTGCTTTTGTTTGAAAATATTCATCTATTTTATCTAATTCGACTTCAAATGAACGAAGAAATGCTGGTTGTTGAAATTTATTTTTATTGTTATTATCAATAGAACCATTTTTTTCATTAGTTGTTTGATGATCTTTTTTTAAATATAAATATTTATTTGAAAAAAAAAAAAATTCTTTTCAATACTCGTTTTACCAGAATGTGAAAGTGATGAATTTGTTGATGAATTTGGTGGTGTTGGCGATAGAGCTGCACACATTGATAATAAACTGAAGAAAAGAAAAAAAAACAACGAATCTATTAGAATATTTGATGTTTTATTTTGAACAAAAAAAGAAAATGATTCTGTTTCAATAAATAAACATCTTAAAATTTATTGATTCGATAGTGGGTAAATCCATGTAATATACAGAAGACGAACGAACATTAATACCAACTAGTGTCACCTATGATAATATTTATTTAAAAATAAATGTGTTAAACTATTTGATAGTTGTTCATCTATACTCTAAAAAAAAACCATTAGTTATGTTCTTATGAACAATACCGATTGAAGTAAATAAGATCTTATTTTAATATTGTACAAAGAATAACACACAATGAAATCAGTTGATCCTCTTATTTTATTTCTTTTTCGTCTTTTTTTTTATTGTAATATGAGATTGCCGACAACTATCTGATTGCTTTCAACAGTATTCTCATATCGTCACCATCATCATGCATTTGCCAATGAACAAAAAAAATAATGAAGTATGATGCTGATCATATTTAATGTAATAGAAAAAAAGAAGAAGAAAGAGACACATAGTACTCCGAGGGAAATGGTGAAACAAACTGCACAGTTAATATGATGCACAGAAGTTGCATAATCCCTTTCGTTTGATCCCAATAGTACAAAATCATGTTCTGACTTTTATCATCGACACACACACACAACCATCACTTGCATGCATGATTTAGCGTGACAGAAAAACTGATGACAACGACGATGACGACAAGTGCCGGATGTTTCTTTTTCTGTATAATGCAACTAAAGTAATAGCTGATTCTTAATGATAATTTGAAGCAAAACAGAACATATTATGTTAATCAAAAATTAACTTTGTATAGAATTTTGATTCAAATCAGACATCTTCTTTGTTTTTAATATTCTATGTTTGTTAGTCTTAAAAATAAAAGAAAACGTGTATAGACATAGAATCATTGTACAGATGGATGGAACAGTTGTGTGTCGGGAATGTCGGAATGATGATTAGCTTGTTCTTTGTCTAAACAACTTGCAAGCAAAAGATGAAGAAGAAGAGACTATCGTTGTGGGAAGTCGTCAATTGAGTAGAGACCATGCTGAGTATATACATGTGCCGCATGTGGTCAAGTCGAGGAAAACATTCTATTCAAATCATAGCCTTATGTGTACTGTTCGTTTCGATCATCGTCAATCGTCATCATTTACCTTCCAATACCATAATTGATCATGGTCTTCAAAGTACATAATGACGTATTTTTTCCTCTCTCTCTCTCATGTTCGATGTCTTTCTTCTTTTTGTATGTAAGTAGCCAGTCGATTGATACAAATGAACGCAGAATGGACCAGAAAGGAAATTAGATAGTCTGACAGGCAATAAAATGAGAGCCATGCAATATCAGTTCGACATGTTTTCTCCATTATATTTTGTTCTTTCTCATGAACTGTTCATTTTAGATTAATTTATACTCTTTTGTTAGAGCAATGATAAATCAAGTGATGACGAATTGGTCAAGATACGTATAGACGAAGAAGAAAGAGAAGAAAGAGGAGGTTCTTCTTTTTCTCAACGCGAATAGTTAGTAGAAAGCAACCCTACACGACCAATTAGTCTTCCATTCAAGCGTTTTTGCTCTTCTCTCCAATATTCTTGACACAAGCTCGTTATCATCACCACCAAACAAGTGTCGGTAGTATGTATGTGTGTGCGTGGGTGGACGCTCGAGGCCACTGTCAAGTGGAATAGGGGGAACAGCTCGTTTATGCTCTCTGACTAAATTAGTAAGCGAGTATTGAACATATATGCATATACATATATATACACATCATGTGATTGATCGATATTAAAAGAGAAAAGATATCGTATACCGTCTTACAAAAAAAAAATCCAATAGTAATATGTTTATGTGTACATAGGAGTTTTAGGGATCGACATTAATGTGCTGGCCGATCTCGCTTTCTTTTTCTTTTTCTTTTGTTTTGTGTTCATTCAGATGAACACATAAACGTATATATATATACAAAACAAAGAAAATAGTTGTGAGACTCATACAATAGTCGTTCTTGTTTTTTTGTCTTTAAGAAAGAAATGGAAATTCAATTGATATATATACAAAAAGACTACCATCACCGATCAATAAATATTTTTTTTTCATCGTTTTTTTTCTTCTTCTCTTATTCTTATTCAACAGGGAGATTCTCTCTAGCTTTGTTCTCACAATAGTAAGTAGTAGTATTGGTAGTTCATCGCGTAAGCGAATGAGCAAGAAAGAGCAGAAAAAACCATAAGGACATTTTAGGATAGAAGAGAGAGACTGCTTGCATAATCATTGAATTTGAAGGATTAATACGTGCAACAAGCGAATATAGGCATTGTTCATATATACATGCGTGTGCTCATTCAGTTTTATGGTAGGTGAATAGTGACCACTTTGAGATTCTTTCAACCGACATTGAGATCCTTGATTGAAACAATAAAAAAAAGTTATGTATTACTATTTGACAACATGCAAGATACAAATACCGGCGTCGCATACCCACAGATCGAGTCGGTGCATCATCATCATCATCATCATCATCATCATCATCGTCCGACTCATCAATTTACAGTTCATTAGCGTTCGAACTAGTGAATATGAGGAAAGATGATGAAGCAAATGATAACAATGAGCCAATTATTTGGTTGTCTGTCTGCTTCTCTTTCTTCCTCTTTCTCGTACTCTCTTATGCTTTTTCTTTCTCTCTCCCTCTCTCTCTTTGTGTCTCTGTCTCTTTCACTCTCATAAAACACACTGAAAAGAAGAAAGTGGACGAAGGAAAAGAAAGGTGAATTTTTTTGCTCATGACTATGCTTCTGTCAGATGAATGGTTCATCGCCGATGTGCTGCCACAAGCAGATCATCACTAACATCCGTTATTGGTAGCTACAGGTGAGTTATTGTCATCCATCTTCCTGCCCCTTTCTTGCCTATACTTATTCATACATCCCTCAGTTGAAATCTCTCATCTCACTATTTTTTTTAGTTATAGTGGGGTTTGTATTAAATATAAGCGTGCATAGATACACATTAACTGTTGATGATCGACGAGAAATGGGCGGAGATGACGCATCACATACACACATCAACTAACTATCTATGAGAATATATGAGATGAAAATTGGAAAAAAATAAGTTCATTCATTCATTTTGATCGTGTCATGAGACGGGCGTACTGTCTTTTTATTTTATATCCTAACGTATTCAAGGTTAAAAAAAATAGAAACGAAAGACAACTAATCTTCCATTTATATATATATATGCTCGAGGCTCATAGACTCTAATATATAAATATATATATATATAAGAAGCAAAATTCGTATTAGGACAAAAAAAAAAAAGTAAAATTTGCAAACGTCAACGATAGTATAGCGTGTAAGAGGTGTTAGAATTAGCTTCTGGCTATTCTATATTCATCTATACATGTATATATATGCAAGCAAACATGCGTGAAGAGATAGAAAAGATCAAGCCTTTTTTCTTTTCACGATCTCACTCTTTCTTTTAGATGTACAATCATTTTTACATATTTATGAAATGATTATCCGTCGTCTTATGACGACACTATTTTTAACCGTTTTGCACACAATGACAAATAGTTTAAATGATGATTCACATATATCTCGAGATTATATTAATGTTAATGTGGGCAAACGGGTACGAATGGAATGCGAACTAAGTAATTCAACAATGTCTGTTAATATGAAAGTAAGTTCAATTATCAATGACATTCTTTTTTTTCACCTGTCGTGAAATGTCTAATGATCATTGACATTTGAAGGAGAGAGAATATGAGAAAAAGAACTTTTTATTTGATTATAATCAAACTTAATGATCCTTATTCTTTTTTTCTTTTGTTTCAGGGTCTATGGCTACGTTTAGAAGATGCCGAAGTATATTTCTATTCAACAAGTCGAATTAATTCAGATCAACGTTTTCAAATTGAACAACGTCCTATTCTTCATATTATTAATGGTACATCGTCATATGAAATAATGACATATTCATTGACAATTGATGATGTACGTTTATCCGATGATGGAACATATTCATGTCAAGAAGACAATAGAATTATCAAACTATTCGTTTTAAATATTGTTGGTAAGCATGATCATCATATGTTTATGACATCCATATATTACATTTGATAACATTTGATTACATAATCGATTTCTTCAAATATAAATGGACAAGATCACGACAAGAACAGGAATTAAAATGAGACGATGATTAGACGTCGATCTTTTTTTTTCTCACTCTTACTACTAATAAAGATTGAACAGGAAAGAAATAAGAAAATGAAAATCTGACTTATTTCTTTTTTCATAAGTAGAAACTAGACATGCATTTCTTTTTGTTTGATTAGAACGACCGTTTTTTGTCACTGATAAATATACAACATTATTACGTACACAAATCGGAAAAAATGTGTCTATTGCATGTGAAGCGCATGGCAAACCAAGTCCATATCTCAGTTGGATAAAAAAGATCGATGGTATAGATTAAAAACAATAAGAGTTTTTTTTTTTGTTTTCATTCTTCTATTGTTTTTCTTTCATTAGACGAGCAGCCAAAAACGATGATCAATTGTACAACTACGCCTACCACCTGTCAATTGAATCTTCATCATGTTAATCGTTGGCATCATGGAATATATGAATGTGTAGCAACTAATACCATTGGTACAATTGGTCGATTTTATACACTTGATGTTCAATGTAAGTTTTACGAAGTATTAAAAAAACTAACCTTTATATTATCTTTTTTTTTATTCTCATTCTTTCATTAGTTCCGCCAGATGTTTATAGTCCTAAAGAGAAATCTTTTCATTCGATCGATGATACAATTACATTTGAATGTTTGATTGATGCTAATCCGGAACCGGATATACGGTGGTTACATCGATTCACCAATGATATTAATCAAGAAATGGATTTATCTAATCATTTTAATCAAGGATTTTATAATCATAATAGTAGAAGAGAGAATCCAATTTTGTCGATTACACATGAAAAGATAAATGCAACTAGGTGGAAAACAAGTCTTTTTCTTAAAGTAAACGAATGAATTATTTTCACAAGAAAAAAAAACAACCAAATATACATTTTTTTTCCTTTTTGTAGCATATTCCAAAACATTTTTTTAATTCAAATTTTATTTGTCGTGCAACGAATCGTTATGGTCAAGATGAACGATCGATAAAACTTATTCAAAATCATCATCATGTTTCAAAAAAACATCGTCATACATCAACAACTACAACAATAATGACAACAACATTTGGCCTATTATATAAACAATATAATGCAGATAAATATCAATCATCAAGTACAACACGTATGTATTAAATTCATTATTATATAAAATGATTTATCGATTTATTTATTTAGATTTTTTATCACAAGCAACAAATGATATTACTAATCGGTCAAGAAGACTTTCTCCTTATTTATTCTATTCATTTATTATAGGACTATATTCGTTTGTACAATGACAAATATACTTATATTTCTATATCTTTTTTTTTCTTTGTCTTTTTCTTTGCTTTTTAATTTCTCCGTCCGTGGTCCATCGAATAAGATTATCAGTATTACATTTATGCTTTTTTTTCTTTTTGTCTTGTATCATTTTTATTTGTTCTTAATAATTGTAAAAGAAAAATAATTGATAATTGACGAAAGAAAATAAACATATGTATAAGATTATATTCGTCTTCTATAATTAATAAAATATAGAAAAGTTTTATTCGATTTTGTTCGTATACAAAATATCTCGAGTTTGCCAACATCGTGGAGAGGAGGAGAAGGCGAAGGGGGAGGGGAGGGGGATAAAGATCGATTGAAAGTTTTTTGATAAAGTTGACCAGATTTTGGGAATCGACGAGTAATATAAGGCAATAATATCTTAGAACTCTGCTTAGGAAAAACGAAAATTTTTCAAGGTTGAAAAGGCTCATCTCTCTTACTCAGGATAATCCTGTGTTGTATGATGATAATTCTAATTGAGATACTATTTGGTTATAAGATTTTGTGAAAAATCACTTTATACATAGTTATTCTGACAGCTATTATTGTAATCTGATAATTAAACTAAATCTATGTAATACAATGATATTAATTACAGATGTCTCATTCATTGTATGATGTAATAAATAACGAACAAAAAAGAGATTCGATATTGAGCTAGATATATTAGAGAAGATCTAATAACACACAGCTGTTTAATCGAAGGTAGTTAAAATGTGTTTCTATTAATAGAAAAGGAAATATTTCGCATTGATTCTATAAAATCATTGTGAAACTGATTAAATGATTCGAAATTTGAATATGCTGCACTTTTACGGTTGATGACATTCAAGGATTCAGATAAAATGTATTACCTAATGTCTGCACTAGTATTAAAGAAGGGTGGACGTAAGCTCAATAGCTCGATAATGCCATCGACTATCGACCTGTGATTTTCAACAATCGGAAGAAGTGAACCACGCATCTTTATTTTTTGAAATTATACAAGATAAAATTGTCACCAAATACATCATCCTTGCGAAATAATACAAAAATACATGAAAACAGTGTTGTGTTTAGAGGACGTGTTGATTTTGACATGTGATTCAGACAGAGGGATTGTAGATATATAGTTCAAGGCATGACTCAGATGATTATCTTCTTAAATCTCAATGCTGAGTAAACGAAATTGCGTATCTATTCGGTCAGATTATATAGATTTTTGTCGATTTTTAGCATGTTTTCTGAGTTTTTATGAAAATTTTCATGAAACGAAACATCGTTTTCACAGAGATTTTTGAATGTTTTGTGAAGATGATAGGTTCTAAAATAACTTTGTCTAATATAGAATCAGAAAAAAAGACATTCGGAGTTCTTCTCTTTCCATTACCAAAAAACCGCAGGTCGATAGCTATTACCATTGTTAAGCTATTAAGACTTCACCTACTCTTATTTGGTTCTGACGCTGCCATTCAATTTTGTATTCAAATATTGTATATGAACATTTATAATTTTGTCAACATGATTGATACTGTTTGAAAGCGTAAATTTTTTGGTAAGAGTCTATCTTAGTTTTTTATCATTTGATTATAGCGAGGAATGATTTTTTTTAAATATTTTGCAAATACTCCGGTATGCTCATTTTTTACTAAAAATAAACTTATTGAGGAAGCAATTTTTGACATATTTGTGAGATTAACCCTTTACAGCCGGCTCCTAGAAGCCGTTAAGAAAAAAATTCTTATGATACATATTTTTTCTTGTTTCACCATGAGGATGATCATATTTAAATTTGAGGATTAAAGAATTGATTTATAACTAAATACCACGATGTTGCCTTTTGGCAACATCCGGCCGTAAGGGTACAAAAAGTTGAAAAAAGACAATTATTTTTCCTCGATGAAAGACCAATAATTTGCTGTTAGGTTCNTATTCCATAAAAACCCTCTTACTATTCTGCTTAATACTGAGAAGCTTTGTTGGAAACAACTTCATTATATCCTAACAGTTCTCAAGTAGAAAGTTCAGTGAATCAGCATAACAACTCAATTTTGTTACAATCATACAGAAGTAAATAAGAGATATTTGTATTTTTATTCAAGAAACTACTGCTGTCGAAAGAAAGAATATTAGTGGTTATATGTATCTTACTCCTGAGTACAACTATATATATGAATAAGATTTAAGATCTTCATATTGAAGATATATGTTAAATATAATATCATTGACTTTTGGGACATCCTGTAATAGTTAAAATGGTTTGACTTCTATAAATTATTTTTTGTAAACGTTGACCCATTTTATCTTCATTAAATTAATCATTTTAACGCCGTACCAAGAAAGCGTTCAACAGAGTTTTTTGTGACAGTTTTTTGCCAGTTTAATGATGTAAACTTTAAATCATTTTAATACCAATTTGCAGTTGCAAATTTTGGCTGGGTAATAAAATATAAAAATAATAAGAATAAAATAAAATAAAAGAAAAGAAAAGAAAAGAAAAGAAAAGAAAATTATTAAGTAAAATATAATGAAATTAAATAGATTAAAATAAAATAGATTGTTTTATCAAATGAGGTTTCGAAGAATCCGGCAAATTTTCATTGTGGGATATCACCTGATTCTATTGTCAGGATCCAAAAGGGTGAAGTTGAGCTGGGTTTTTACTATTTCAATGCTTTCTCTTAAACTTTGAAGACTAGGGTGTTCAAGAGGTAATGAGTGTTGTTTAATATCAAGAGCCTGTTGATAAGACGTAAGTGCCTGCTGGTAATCACCCTTTCTTCTATAATCCCAGGCAATGTTGTTGTAAGAAATAGCTAAATACGGATGATTTGGCGGAAGAGTTCTTTGGTCAATCTCTAGTGCTTTGTTATAATATGAAAGGGCCTTCGAATAGTCATCCATCTGAGAATACACCGTACCAATATTATTGTAAGAAGTAGTCAAACTCGGATGATTTGAAGGAAGAGTTCTTTGGTCGATTTCTAGTGCTTTGTTATAATATAAAAGTGCGTTTTCATTATCAAGCTTCTTCTTATAGATCGAACCAATGTTGTTGTAAGACTCAGCAATATCAGAATGATCTGGGGGAAGAGTTTCTTGACGGATTTTCAGTGCTTTTTGATAGTATGAAAGTGCATTCGAATATTGACCCATCTTCTTATACACCAAACCAATATCATTGTAACATTCAGCCACAGCGGGACGTTGTGATGATAGATGTTTTTGACGAATTTCCAGCGATTTCTCATAAAATGTGAGCGCTTCCAAATGCTCTTCTTGACGAAGTTTGATCAAGCCGAGCTGAAAAAGAACATTTCCTGTCTCATCATCGTTCATTTTTTGAGCAAGCAATATTCCACATAAATCTTCGGCTACTTTATATTGACCTAACTTTATCATCAATTTTACTAGTCGAAGCCATCCTGTTGATCCTTCGGTCTCTTTTCGCATCTGTTCAGTAAGTGCATACAAATCAGGGTCACTATCACTGGTCAATGTTAAATCGACTTGCCAAAGATGATTATTTCCATTGATTTGTTTCATTGAGCCAATACGAAAAATGGAATGCATGGAAAAGAGAATTTCTTTTTCTACTTTGAAATAGCTGACTTCATGGACGTTCGCGAAAGCAGTATTAGATATTGATGGATTGATAGTTATTGCAAAGAGAATGCCTATCAGATCGGGATTACTTTGGTTACTTTCAGCAAAGGCAAGAGATACTTGATGGTCCATAGTAGTCGACAAAAAATTATTAAATGATAAAAGTCCACCTTGTGTCTTCATCATTCGATCAAAGTCGGCCTTTGGCAGTCCTTGACCGCGAAAGACAGTAAACGATTTCATATGTGTATGTTCAATATATTGTTTCTGATGAAGCTCGACGATGTGTTTGTGGAGATCACGAATTAAAAATCCCATGCTTATTATGATATCGACCTCCATCATTCTTAATGATCGATTGAGCATTGAATAAAGAAAGCATGGATAGGTATACCACCAGATCGGGAGATGTTCATGATATTCATGTTCGAGTTTGTTGATGTACTGGAGTTCATATGGATTATCGGCGATAACGTCGCGACAATATGTAAGAAACTCATCGATATGATGTTGATTGAAATCGATGGTTAATAAAATTTCCTTCATTATTTGTGTGTACATAAATGAAGAATCTAATTGATTGAGGTTTAGCTTGGTAGATCCCTTATCAGTACTAACTAAACTGATCGATATCATGCTTTGATCATATTCGTGTGCGGCTTGTTGAAGGCCTTTACAGATTGAAGTAATATCTGTAAAGATCCCTTTTATTTTTGGCCATTGTTTGGTCCATTGTTCATGCCGATCTTGGTTTCCACAAAAAATGTAAATTGTATTGATCTGAGGCATGTCATGTACGATGGGAACTGCAGTTTGTCCCAATGCATCAGAGACGATCATAAACATTTTGTCTTGTTTGAGGTCGCTAATAAAATTGATACATTCATCGACATCTGTGAAAGTATTGACCTTGTTGACTACTTCTTTTAATTTGGAAACTGTATTCTTACAATCTTTGTTGTTTTCTGGATTGATGCTGCTGTCGAGCCAGACGAGCAAAAAGTTCTGAACCATACGAGTACGAGGAGGCTGTCGTATCCTTATGCTCATAAGTTCAGATGGCGTGGTAGCAGCAGTTGTTGTTGTCATCGGCCTTTTCTTTTCATCCATGGTGTGCGTTGTCTTTTATCAATGAAAATAAAACAAAATGACTTGAGTTTATATAGTACTAGCGGAAGTACCCAGCGTTGCCCGGGAAAGTTCAGTCCTAATATATGTTAGTAAAACTCCTACTGCGCTCGAAAACATGTAAGAAAACCTAATTAGTGAAGTAGACACGCATTAAATCCTATATTTTGTTCAGGTTCTGGTTCCGACTCTTGGACGTATTTTAAGAAAGTGTCCCCAAGAGGACCTAACAATTTTATGTGGAACCGGTACCACTCAATATTTAGATTTTTGATTTGCAATTCTGAAACGATAGGCCATGATTAGGACCTTATAAATTCAAAATATGAGCTCTTTATACATCTCCTGTAAAAAGTTCTGAATTACACAATATGACATGTCGTTTGACCTTGGTCAAAAAACCGGATTTTTAGGGTGTTCTCGGTATTTTGAATGTTTCTCAGCAATCACTCGTTCCTTTGAGTCCAGAGACGTCTCAAAAGATATAGAAATGTTTTCTCTACAAAACTGGTTAACTGACTCAGTTTTACAAGGTACTTTATTAATTCCTAGTTTTAATATACGTGGAAAAAATACAATTCGATTTTGCAGCAATTTTTTAATGTTTTGCATATTATTATACTTTGGCTCGCTGTCCCAAAATTATTTTTATATTTTCGGAAAGTCCTTCAGATTCTGCATCTATTAATGGAAAATTCAAATCATTCCAATTCTGCTAGCGAAAGTTAGCCCGTACCATAAATGTTGATATTTGATGGTCATGTTCATTCATTTTACTCCTGGATTTGATTTCCATACATTACATACTTCTTCGAATAAGAAAATCGACCTCAGATTCATAATTAACATACAAAACTACGTGAAATGGACTATTTTTAAGAACTCTTCAAAATGTATTGCAGGTCATCTGCTTGACGAAACACTAANTGAGTCACCTCTAATATGATTTCAATGCAACAAGCCTGAAATATTTTTGAAGTATGAAAACGATCTTAACAGTCCATAATTTACAGAGTGCTTGACACTTGTATACGTGTACGAGTACTTCAAGTATTTTGCCTAGCTTTGTGCAATGCTGCATTTTCCTTACGGAGCACGAATTTCAGAATTTCAATTGACTCGTTATGAAAACTTGCCCTGTTTGCATCAATGCAGTATTATTCATCAAGTTTGTTTTTTATTTCTTCTTATTCTCTTAAGATAGAAGGTCTTTAAGTGATTCGCGCTGTTCTCAATAATATGTTCTCCATATATTGGAGATATTATCCTAAGACGGTTCGGATTGATGGGGCTTCTTTTGAAAGTTATGATCAATTTACTGATCTTCTACAAAGCATAAGGTATATCCAGAAAAATCGAACAACAGAATTTCAGTTCGAAATTTTGCTCATATGTAGTTCTTGTGGGCATTGAAACGCTCTAAATATTTTAGTGGAACAAAAAATGTTTTCTTTTGAAGATATCAATTCTTAAAAACTTGTCTATAAAGTGAAGAAAGATCGATTTTTTTAAAATTCAACCTCACGACAAGAAAACATTTGCTTTCTATTGAAACATATAACGAGCTCTAATGATCACGTGAACTACATATGAGCAAGACTTCGCACTGAGATTCTGTTGTTCAATTTTTCTGTACATGCCTTGTGCTTGATGAAAACAATCATTAAAATGGTCATAACCTTCGAAAGAAGCTCAATCAGCCTAAACCGTCTTAGCATTTTTCTTAGAATAATGTTCTCGTTAGATGTCAACTGAAAATTATCTATGAAATACTTCATATGTATTTTTCTTACTCGACAACAGGTGAGATTCCTTTAGTAAGGCCGAAACTAAAACTTAGTAGTATTTTTTTCCGTTATCCGTATAAAAAAAGTCTTTAAATAAACTTCTACTACTGAGACCATTCGAGTGAACCGAAATGGGGATATTTTTCAATTTTTACCGTAGGAATATTCATGTTCCACCCTTTATAGACAAAAAGCTTATTAAATACTTCCTCTTTTTCTTGCGCGAATAGAAAGATGGAATCCGGTTGGGGATCACCACCACGAACTATTATTAGTCATTCTCCTTCAATTGATCAATTACCTATTCCATCATCATCAATTCCTTCTGCTACTGCAGCTAATAATCATACCGATCTTCTATATCCATCAGTAAATGAAGATACAGATACAAAACCAATTAGACCAGTACCATCAAATAATATTTTAAATTTTTTTGATCAGTGTCAAAATGAACTTGATCAAATAAGAGATGAATATAAGTCAAAATTTGCTGAAAATCGAACATATATTGAACAAGAAATAAATCTATTAATAGATGAAGAACGACAAACATTGGATAAATTAGATCGATATTTAAATGATCATCGACGACGTGTTGAAAAACGTAATAATAATAAACGAAAACATAGTCCATCGTCTTCAATTCATTAATTTAATATAATTGTATTTGTCTTTTTCTTGCTTTAGTAATATCTCATGTGCTAAGTTTGTTTTGCTTTTTTTTATCGAATAATTTTTGTTTATATATTTGTTACCAGATTTACCTCCTTGTTGTTACTTTTCTCTATTTTTTTCTTTTTCTTTCTTTCTTTCTTTCTTTCTTCTCGTTAGATCTTTCTTGATGTTATTTAAACTTGATCACTCTTTATTCTTTTTGTCCTTAAGTTTGACCCTTGATCTAAGTAGCCGATATATATATATATGTATATATGTATGTTTTTTTTCTTCAGGGGGCATATATAGCTATATATGTGTGTGCGGACACTTTTTGATTTTAAATAAATAAAGAAAAAAGGATTGAACATCAGACCTCTAATAATATTATTTCTATTTTTTCCTAATATTGAAAAAAGTTCATATTTGTTTTTGAATTCCGAATAGAACATGTACTTTGCATTCATGTGATTAAAAAAAACGATTTTTTTTTATTTTTAGATATATTGAAAACAAATGGTTTAATTCGTAATGAAGTTGAATATTTTCTTTTCTGACTTATTTTTATAATATATCACATTTTAACTCGTACTGATTATTTCATCATGGAAACCTGACTATTTACTCATATGGTCGATAACTCGTTCGTTCTTTTCTCTATCAATTTTAGTCAATAGTGGCATAAGCCGTAGCATACATTGCATCAGCAATGTGTAGTCGTCAGAGAGGCCAATATCTGAGCTATTTAAATGATAAAAATATATACATAAACAGTTTGTTTATATATATTTTTTTTTTGTATTGAGATATGGCGGTATCTACTAATGATGAAACACGTGTCGCTCTCTTCCAATCAATCGGTCTCAACGAGCAAAGAGCTCGAGAAACATTAAAAAATCAAGATGTTACTCGCTTGCTTGAAACCAATATTAATGAAGTAATTATAAAACTATTAGCATTTTTTTTTTAGTTCTTCTTTATTCATTCAAATTATTTTTATTTAGGCAAGAAATTTTTTACCACAAGAAAATCAAATAACAAAACCAATTGGTAATCTTCTCTATGCACTTGCAACAAAAAGTAAACAACAAATATACCATCTACATAAATATTTAATTAAATATATATGCGAAGAAAAGATTAAAAACGACCTACAGTTATCAGGTAAAATGATAACAATAAAAATAAAAATATATTCTCATCAACATTAAATATATTCTTCATAGCTGCTATTCAGTATCTTCTAACACATCCTACGGAACCAATTGATCAAAAAGCATTAGAAGAAAATGCTGGTATAGGAGTAACAGTTACACCTGAAGAAATAGAACATACTATTGAAGAAATAATTGCACAAAATAAAACAAAATTACTTGAACAACGTTATGATTTTTCCATCGGTAGTCTTTTAGGTGAAGCTCGAAAACGTTTACCATGGGCTGATGGAAAAGTAGTTAAAGCTGAAATGGATGTTCAAGTAAGGAATTTTATTGAAATTAAATATAATATCTTCTTTTAAATTTAATTAGTTACTCGATCTTCTTGGTCCCAATGATCAATCAACAAAGAGTACAACACAAAAGCAAAATGTAAATTAAATTTTCATAAGCTTCATATCTATTTATATTTTTTTTTTGTTAGACTGCAAAACCATCTACTGCAAAAGCCAAACCAGCTGCAACTACAAATAATGATAGTAAGATAAAAAGTTGATTGTTTGTTATTGTTTTTGTCTTTTTATTGATATAAATTTAGTTCAAGAAAATGGCGAAATACGTTCATTTTCGGACTTAAGCGGTGAAGCGTTAAATTTTCATAGAACAGGTAACACTTTTATTAAAAAAAAATTAAATAATTTTTTTTCTTTTTGTAACAGGTGAAAATTATAAAACTGAAGGTTATATTATGACACCAAAGACAATGGATCTTTTACGAGAACATTTGAAGAAAACTGGCGGACAGGTATATATCAAAATTTTTATTTAAACCGCCTTGGAAAATCCATCTTGGATCATACACACTCAAATCGCATGAGATTTTCAAGACACTTTAGGGCTATATAGAAGAGGCTATGCTAAAATTTTGAGCTCTATTTCACGATGTTCGAGCGAGATATTCAACAAACAAAAGTGACAAATAGCTCCTTTGCCAACCTGAAAAATTCTATTTTTTGCAGATAAGTCATTGCTGAGTCACATATCAGACAAGAACTTTGTCGAGAGCGTGAGCAATGTTTGATAGACATTTTAATTAATTCTGTTCGACACTAGCGTAAAGATACTATTTGTTATGAAATAAAAAAACGAGATGTTAACAATACTTCTAAGTCAGTAGCGAATCTACTATTTTACGATGAACGGGAACGATTATTGGCAGAACACACTTTTTGAGCTCGTTCCAGGTAATAGAAGCCTGTTTTCTGTTCTTCCTTGCTTGGTACAATCGCAGAAGTTTTCTTCAAGGTGCAAGATCGTTCCTTTGCTCTCGGTCCTTAAATCTGCCACCGTTCTGAGTATTTCCTAGGAAATACTAAAGGATTGTAAAAGTAAACTTATCCTCTTTTGTCGTTCTATCGTCACCATTCGAAAATGTTTTATGAAGGAAAAAGAGAAAAAGTTGAATATTTCAAAGAATGGTCATCTATTGGTCAAAGAAAAAAAGGCAAATGACTACAATGAACCTTTTCTGAGAATTCGGTATGCGCGATCGAAACAGCATTAACAGGTGAAAAAGCAAAAACGATTTTCCAATTATTTCGAAAAACAATTTCAAGCAGAAGATGATGGAAATTAACGATTTGCAGGGTAAACTTCTTTTCGTATCCTGTACTCTGGCTGAGAAAAATTTTATAATCCTTACTCTACCGTGTACATTTCTAATGGAAATTATCGGAAGTTTTGGCGAAAAACGTCATGTCGTTTACGAAACACTAGACCTTCGGCTATTTTGCTACACATTTATTGCAGTTTTTATTTTTTTTTTGACACGTAGAAATCTTATAAATTTTGTTTTGTTTTTATTTTTCCAGGTCGTCACACGATTTCCACCAGAGCCAAATGGTATTTTACATATTGGTCATGCAAAGGCAATTAATTTTAATTTTGGTTATGCTAAAGTAATTTTCTAGAAAGAAAAACTAAAAACGAAGTTTTGAAAAATCTTTTATTTTAAGGCTAATAATGGTATTTGTTATTTACGTTATGATGATACAAATCCAGAAAAGGAAGAAGAAAAATTTTTTACGGGTATTCTTGATATTGTTCAATGGCTTGGTAAATTTATAAGAAAAAAAAACTTTGTTTTGTTTTTTTTGTCTACAAAAAGATCTTTTATATAGGCTATAAACCATATAAAATTACTCATGCATCTGATCATTTCAATCAATTATATGAATGGGCAAAAGAATTAATTCGTCGTGGTCATGCTTATGTCTGTCATCAAAAAGGTGAAGAGTTAAAAGGATATAATGTTTCGGAATCACCATGGAGAAATCGACCTATTCAAGAATCATTACAAATATTTGAAGTAAGATTTTATTTTTAGCACAAAATTTGATTTTTATAAAAATCTATATTTATTATCAAAAGGATATGAAACATGGAAAATTTGCTGAAGGTGAAGCAACATTACGTATGAAATGTGTTATGGAAGATGGTAAACTTGACCCAGTTGCATATCGAATTAAATATGCTCATCATGCTAAAAGTGGTGATAAATGGTAAAAAAAGTTTTATTTTTCTTTAAGTTTTTCATTATTTTTTCCTTTTTCATAGGTGTATTTATCCAACATATGATTATACACATTGTTTAAATGATTCAATTGAAAATATTACTCACTCATTATGTACGAAAGAATTTCAATCAAGGTTTGTCAAATAAAAGACAAAACAAAAAACAATTTCTATTAAAAAAAAACCAATTAATTTAGACGTTCTTCATATTATTGGTTATGTAATGCTCTTGATCTTTATTGTCCAGTACAATGGGAATATGGTCGCCTTAATCTTCAATATACCGTTACATCAAAACGTAAAATCACTAAATTAATTCTCGAGGGAGTTGTTAAGTAAGAACAAAATTTAAAGAAAAAAATATATAAGAACTATTTTTAAAATTTAGAGATTGGGATGATCCACGTTTATATACATTAACTGCATTAAGACGACGAGGTTTTCCAGCAGAAGCAATTAATTTATTTTGCTCACGTATTGGTGTAACAATGTCACAGACTGTTCTTCATCCAGATATGCTTGATGCATGTGTACGTGAAGTACTTAATGTTACTGCTCCTCGGTATGAAAATCAAGTTTAATTGATTTTTTTATATGGAAATAAATTATTTTTATCCACTTTTTTCTTATAGAGTAATGGTTGTTATGGAACCATTGAAAGTAACAATTACAAACTTTCCAAGTGAAAATCCTATGGAATTGAATGTACCGAATTTTCCAGCTGATGAATCTCGTGGATCACATACGATCAAATTTGATTCAGTTATTTATATTGAAAAATCAGATTTTAATGAGGTAAAAAATTAGGTTGAAATACTAGGGTGATTTTAATATGATCACTAATCAATTGAAGAAACGTGTAGAAAAAAAACTGACTATATTTCTGAATAAGGAATATCAACTATTTGTACTAGTATGGAAAAATAATTCTCTCGAGAGAAATTAATTATACAACAAAGACAAATTAATCATTATCAAAAATAATTGAAAGAAAAAAACAAAATGAAATAAATCCACTGACCCTTGATTAATTTGTTTTAAGGTAATTTTTCCGGATTTATCCCATGCGGAAAAAAATTCGATTTCAAACTCAATCCATCCCTAACTGGACTCTTATTTGCTAACTAATGAAGATAAGCAAAATAAGTAATAGAGATAGTTTGAGAACATTGATGCGTGTATCCATAGTTTATACATACCCTCGTTGAGTTCATTCGATTTCCACAACGACCTTCAACACAGCTCTTATTTACATGCTTGACAATATATTGAAAGCCCAAACAGTTCAGCATCATCTGGTTTCGTACAGTAGTTGTAAACTGAAGCATGACGAACAAATGGCGACAGAAATAGCGATTATAACAATTCGATTGATATTTGCATTGTAGAGTAGTTTGTGAATTTGAATTGAAGAAAGTTATTTCCTAATGTACGAGTATTATATACTCTCCAGAGATAGAAATGATCTGGATTTTTCACGATCAGTACTGGTACTAGTTCCATCTCTGATTAGGATAATTGATCTTAATTGTTAATCGGAGACGAGTTGAAGGTAGACTATATTATGCAAACAAGTGTGAGTAATCACTCACTCGTTATATCTTTCTACATCATGTCAATCATCTTAATCGATTTGATAACATAAAACATTTATTAATTTTGAATTCAAGCTTTTCTTTTTGTTCATTTAGAAACCAGCGAAAGATTATAAACGTTTAGCACCTAATCAACCTTGTGGTTTACGTCATACTGGTTATTTTATTATGGTTCAAGATATTGTTCGAGTAATTAATTCGAAATAATAAATAGAATTTCTAAGAAAAATAAAAACTTTTTCTTTTTTTATATAGGATTCGAATAATGAACCAATTGAATTGAAAGTAACATGTCAAAAATCAACAGATGCAGGTGTTTCAAAACCTAAAGGTTTTATTCATTGGGTCTCTCATCCAAATAAATGTGAAATTCGTCTTTATGATCGATTGTAAACTTTATTTCATTTTGGTCTAAATAACTAATTCTTATCGTTTGTTTGTTTTTTCTAGATTTTTTCATCCAAATCCGGATGACCCTAAAGAAGTACCTCGTGGTTTTCTTACGGATATTAATACAGTATGAAAATATTCTACTGATTTTATTATCTAATTTATTTATTTTTTCTTTTAGGATTCTTTAACAATAAATAAAAATGCTCTTGCTGATGATGGCATCAAAAATGCTAAACCATTAGATAAATTTCAATTTGAACGTGTTGGATTTTTTAGTGTTGATCCAGATTCAACTAATGATAATGTAATAATAAAATAACAATTATTCATCAGAACAAATAAATAAATCATTATTATTTTTTATTTTTTTTTCAGTATGTATTCAATCGAACGGTATCATTAAAGGAAGACAAACGAGCATCATAATCTTTTTCTTGTGACTTTTAATTTATGATCGAAAAAGAAAATCTTGTTATTCTTGTTTTAAAAATAAAACATTTACCCGAGACTCTCACATAGACAACTTTAGTTGTTTTTCTTTTGTTCTAAAATAAACCATCTACCGAAGGTGTTTATGGACAAGTTTTCTTTTTGTTTTTTCATTGTTGCAGATGACATCATATAGAGAAATAAGGAGTAAGTGAAATGAAAACGTTGAAATTCTCATTTTGTTTTCTGTTTATTCAAAAAAAAACAAGAAAGTATGAATGATGATGAATCAATTAAAGATGTACAAGTTCGAAAAGATATTCAAATTTTATCAGAACGATTATATGATATAAGAGAAAGATTTATGGAACTTATACATAAAATTAATAATGATTCAATTGATTTTGTTGATCAACTATCAGAAAAAGGCATAAGAAATAAATTTTCATAAAAGCATTTAATTTATTCTTTTTTTTTTTTATTCTATCCATTAGATGATACAATTGATAAAAAATCAAGTGAGAATTTTATTGAGAAATTTTATGATAGATATTAATGAATTATTTTAGATGAAGATATATCATCTGATGAAGAAGATAGTGGTAGGTTTTAGATTTGATTTATTTTCTTTTTATTGTTTCATTTGTTTTTAGATGCGACAAAAACATCAAATCATGAGTCTTATGACAATGATGATAACAATGAAAGTCAAACACAAAAATGTAAAATACATCTAGAAATTCGAAAACTATCGATAGAATCTATTCTTAAACGTAAAGCTCGTCGTCATGAATATATCCAATATATTGTTCAATATCCAAAAATAATGAAATATCTTATGAATGATGATCCCAATAGCATATATGTTCCTCTTCGTCATCTTGAACCATTTATTAAAGAACATGTAAGTTAAAATATTCTTGATGCTTTTTTTTCTAAAATTTATTGATTTTGTTTATAAGGTGAATAAAAAACCTAATGGTCGCATCTATGATAAAGTTAATGATCAAATTCAAGATATCCGACGTAAATATCTAAAACATTGTAAATGATATTCATTTTGTACATAGAAATACTTATGTATTTCTATCGGCTTTTTTTCTTTTTGTTCTATATTGATCTTAGAAAGATAACATGTACAGATATGCTTGTATAAAATTCTTACTGTTCACTTAGGATTATAAATAAAAAAAATATTATTTTTTATTTCTCTGCTGATTTTCGTGAGAAATGTCTTTAAGACAAATGTTTTATTCATTTTTATTGAACTAATCAATGAATGAAAACATGTCGATTCATCAGTTATTTATCTATTGTATTTTGGAAAAGTTATATCTTGAATCATAGAACTAAACTCTAAATATGTCATTTAAAAAAAAAAAAACTTGTAATGCTCTATACGAGTATCCTACTGATATGCGAAGGTTCGCAACTGATAAATCGCTATTGAATCAGCACTAGGCATGCGTGGGATTGGGGTCATGAAAGAAAAATTTGCCGGGATCGGAACTAAGGTTTATAGTAAAATATTTTATGATTTTAGGCAACTTATCTTATAAATCATATGAATCTGACACATAATTTAAGAGATATGACTCAAAAAACTACTAGACTTAGACTAAATAAATTTAAAAAGTGGTATTGAATAATTATTTTAGGATGTGAAACGAATAAATTCTCGAATAGTTTTCTCTAAACTGACACCAAAGACACTTGATCTGACGCATTTCTAGCTCAGAATATGTGCATCATGTAGGTTCTAATGAGTTATGAATACTTCGAAAAGAATTCGAGCTATTAACTTATTGTTGACAAGATACTACATTTTTACGATATTTTTTATCATAATGCCACGGTTCCCTTAGGAATATCAGAACTTAAGACTTCTGCAATAAACTATTCTCGTTAACATCTGTCTCTGCGAAAAGCTTCCAGTTGAGATTTAAAACTAAATTTTCCCCGTATTCCTGAGGGACGCTATAACATTCAGCCACAAAAAAAATATCGTAAAAATATAGTATCTCAGTAACAGTAAACTGATAATGGAAAGTCTTTTCACGGTATTCATACTTCATTAGAATCTACATAATGCATATTGTTCCGACTTGAAGATGATTTAACACATTGGAACCTTCCCTCGGCAGTTCTACTGAGAAATTGTTTGTTTCTAATCAATCTTGGATTATTAATAAAAAATTTTAGCAGATGTACAATATTTCATTTTTATCGAAGATTTATTCCAAATTTTTGCATAGATGATTATTATATTGTTTTACTCTATTTAATCGGAATGAAATATTCGATTGTGTATTGAATATTCTAAAAATATATTGATTTATTTTTAACACCAATGTGTAAATAATTTATATGAGAAAAATAATAAGTTCGAAGTGTTGTTTTGATTTTGAAAGATTGAATTTTGAATTACTGATGATGTTGAAATAAAAGAAATTGTAACCGAAGTAAAGAAGATTTTACGTCATGTTCTATTTTAGAAATATTTTTGAAATTAGATAAACAACAAAAACAAATGACCTTTGACATTCAGTAAATCTTTCTATTATAATGCTGTACTCTAAAATTCTATTGAAACAAAATCTTTTTAATTTTAGAAAATTTTTAAGTACTAAAGTTGTTGTTACCGGTTTCTTGTTATGGACTATACACAGCAAAAAAAAACAATATTGATTCTTCCAGTTATTTTTCCATTAGCCTGTTTTTTTAAAGTTCTCAACTCAAATTGATTTATTCTCAAATTCCTTTTTTTTCCTCCTGTCATTTTTCTTTTTCTTTAAGAATCTCAACATGCTCTCAATCATATGTACATTCTCTTTTTCTTTACACAGCTAACTTTTTTTTTTACATATCTAATGTCTTCTTTATTAAAATTGAAATCAACACATATTGATCGAGATGATTTCGATGCTGATCATTATGCAGATTTTATACGTGATAGTCATCGTTCTCGTATAACACTTGATCAACTTGATATTGCACAACGGCAACATCGAAGAAAAGAAAAACTTTTATCACGCGTTCATCATTTAAAAATGAAAGAATATACACGTGTTAAAAATGAATTCATACGAAAAATTGAACAAGATACACGTATTTCAAATTTACCTAATGTTAAAGAAAAATTAAAAGCTCAACGACGACAACATTCAACACCATCACCTCCACCAATATCAAATGATCAATCACAAGAAATAACTATGTCTACCAAACATGATGAAAAATCTCATCAATTAGATAATCATCCTAAATCATCAACACGACCGGATTCACCTCGAACAGGACGATTAAAAGTTAATCTTAATAAATTTAAACATATGGATTCATTATTAAGTTAGATCATAGAATTTTTTATTTATTTCACATTAGAACTGATCATCAAAAAATATACATTATGATCAAGAGAAAGAAAATAATGAAAAAGCAAAAGAACTATTTGCAAATTTATTTTTTTCTCTAATATAATATATTTTTTTTCATAAACCATTACCAGGATTTGTTGAAGGTGATCGTTTGTCAAGTGCCCAACTACATACTTTCCATAAGCATTCTTAAAAAACAAAAAAAAATGAATATTAAAACTAATGTAATTTAATAGAATTGAATTTATCTTACGTCGACCACGTTTTTGTAAATGACTTGGATGACTATCTGATTGATCCAACGGATTTACTGATAAATTTTCGTCTTCAAATAGATTTTCTACATGTAAAAGTTTGGCAAGGAATACATCTGTTGGTTCAACATCAAAATCAGACCATAGATTTCTCTTTTCAGAAAATGAAGAAAAAAAAAGATTCAATTAATAAACATATCCATCTTACCTGCATATGGTTAATTGTGTGACAATTAATAAAAAATATTTCTACACAAATAAATATTAAAATCAAATTAATTTTCAACATGATGAATATGTACGTCGAAATAAAACAAGGATAATGAATAAGAATAAAGTGCTAAAATATATAGAAATAAAAGTAAACAAAAAACAACATGAAGTTCAAAATCTTATTGGACTAATATGAGAAAAAAAAGTTATTTTCTGACTTCTTTATGTATAAATTTCAATGCTGATGCATCAAACTGTGAATAGAAACTAACATGAGTATAAACCTGATATATATAATGAAGTAAATTATCCAGATTCTTTTTTTGTTTTTTTTAATTATAGATGAACTAACTTTTTTCGCAATCAAAGAAATAATGATCATATATCTTAGCACTTACTCATCTTCACATCTCACTAATTCATAACTCAATAAATTATATCTATCCGATTAAAACTAAATTACAAAGATGCGATAAAAAGAAAAGAGACAATTACAGACAAAGAATATGTTGAGCAAAGTTCTTTTATACAAAGAGAAACTAATTCGTAGATATTAATTAATAGAAGAATTTATGTTCTGGAAAAAACTCACACTTATAATAGATTGATAAGTAAATAGTTTATATTATTTTTTTCTTTCTTTTTTCTTAGTATTGGTAGTAATGATTGTAAGATGTTAGATCAATTGAAGTATAGACTCTTAACACATTGCATAGTATTATTCTTGAAATAAAACCTTGATTCAGGCAAAACAAATCCAACAAAAGTCAGTTAGAAAAAAAAGCAATCTATTGTATTAGAGATTCTTATTTAATAATTATATGAAATGTTAAGAAATATGTTGTTATTTGCTGATGATCAATAATTAACAATACCAAACGAAAAGCAAAATGCTGTTATTTTATTTTCTGTTTTTGTTCGAAAAACCGAAAGTTGCTGTGATTGCCTTTAAATAACTTCTTTTTCTGATTGGCAATGATTGAATGAGGAAAAAAATTATCCAATCATTGACCTCATATACTATTAGACAACGAGTAATCATTTTTACTATTTATGTGCCATGTTTTACTTGATAATTTGTTCCGATTATTTCCAATATCATGGAATCACATTTGTTTTTTCGTGAACCTATTCGATTGAGATTTTAATTACACATGTGGTTCATTATCTATGATCGATTGAAGCTATCAACAACTGTCATATACAAAGTCATTTGTTCGAAATTCATTTTAAGTAATTCAAATTTTAAGAAATACAAAGTCGATAAAATTTGTATTTTTTGTCAGGATCACTTTTAAGAAAAAAGCCTCTAATTAAATGCCAGACAATGTATAGTATCGGTTCAATTATGAAATTTTATTTTCATTTTCGAACGAGTATTTCTTGAATAAAGAAACTTATTAGTACGATGGCAAAGTCGAGAGTGCAAATTAAGATATGAACCATTATTTACTTTGAATTCTTCAATATCGAATTATTTATATATTAGGAATCAGATTCTTTGTAATTGAATAGAAAACGAGTTTGCAACTCATTAATTTTTATTCTCTTATGATTTATTTTTCTTTTCTCGTTTTTTTTTATTTCGCAACTATTTGTTTTTCACTCTGAGATCAACAAACAAAAGATCTCGTCAAGAACAGACAGCAATGAGAATCTTGCTATAAGACTTATACGAACTCTATTGAACACTTAGTTTGCACAAATTTGTAGTGTATTGATCATGCAATCATTATTAGGAGCCATGGTCTTGGATCGGCTGATCTTACAATTGAGCTTGTTACTATTAGTTTTATTCTAATCCACTTGCAATTCGGAAAAAGAAGAAGATTAGTATCTAAATTTTCACAGTGATTTTCGTTCTAATTACATGAAATTTTGAAAAAATAATTAAGTCTACCAAAAATAGCTTTCTACAGAGGTATAACGATGAAGAATGCACATTCTTCAATCCATTTTGCTAAAATTTTCATCGTTTCCCTGTAAAAGTCATTCCTACCATTGAAGAAAAGATTATAAACAGCTTCATAAATGAAAAATGTAAGATTCCTTATATATTTCTTCGCTTCCGCATTGTTCATTGATTTAGACTACATTTTAAATAGACTACAAAGGATTACATAACCACAGCCACGTGCTTACGAAGAAGAAAAAAACAAGAAATGATACATGTTAGTTTTTCTCCAAATGCATATAAATCATTTCATTCAAAGAAGAACATTCATAGTTAATGATTTTACGTTATCGTTATTCGTGCTTTTATCGGATTTCATTGTTGGTATTATTATCGATATTATTGTATGTATTTAAATTGGTGTTATTCATGCTCAATTATTGTTGATAGTCTTTAGAAATGTCTTTGTATCCTGATCTATATTTGTCTATTGACGATTTTTCACAAAAATGAGAGCATATTCGTAGGCATATCGTAAGTTGATATGTTCTTTTCTCCTTGAGAATGAGCACTATTGTTTTTTATTGGACATTCATAAGCAAAAGAATTGACTGAACATCTGTAACAAAGACAGAATTGAAGCTATAAAATGAATGATGAGAAATCAAATGTCTGAGTTTAATTTAAAAGCATTAGCAATGGCTATTGACTTATTCATCGAGCAGTTGTTTCATCTAATGTTTCGAAAATATTGTCTGGCAGTTATTTTCAAGTGCCTTTGACTGATGGAATAATTCATAGTTTTTTTTTCTATACTCGATTAACAGAAGTTTAATAATTTTTTTTTTGGTTTCAGCTTCTACAAATAAAAAGTCAAGAAACCGACACCAGAAAACAACTGGATGAATTTCGTCAAACATTATACAACTGTTCATCCATCGACAATAAGGCACAATTTACCATTTATCTCCACGAGGTTACTGGATTGGCAATAAAATTGAATAAAATAGAAGATGAATTACGTAAACTGTAATGTAAGCTCTTCTTTCTTTGAATAATTTTTTTATCTGTTATCTTTCTAGATAATCATGTGGTCGTGAATCATGGGACCTTGTCATATTAATTTAAAAAGAAAGACGTTTTTGTTTGAAAAAAAGCGATTTTTTTTTTGTTCAAATACATTTTTCTTGCCTAAAAGAGATATTTCTTTTGGAAAAACATTTTTTTTGCTTAAGGCGAAAGTTAGTTTATTAAAAAAAAGAGATGTTATTTTGTGTAACAAAACGATGAAGTTTTTGATATTTATCAAAGACAAACAGAAAATTTTTTTTTTAAATAAGTTGTTCATTTATTTGATTCTTGTAATAAACCCAAGGGAGAACAAGCAGATTGCAATATTTCAAAAGATTTCGAGGGGTATGTAGCGATTTCATTTAAGGGAGATATGCGTGCTCTAATAAATCTTTGCTTCAAAACAAAACCTAGCCTTGTTTTATGCGCTTCGAGATGCATATCATTCGCTCTACCGAGCCAAGGATCATATGAAATAACATGAGTTTGTGGCTCTGCTTGTGTGTTTCCATGCAAATGTCTAGTCCCTTGTTCGCATGTATTGATGTAATTTTTAGAGCTTGACTAGAAGCAATCAGGGCCAGGGAATCCGAATGTGGCGTCAGTTTTTCCAAATTTTGAACTAGACTATTCTGACGAAAGAAAGGGTTTTTTGAGAAAATAACAATTTTTTATAAAGCTTAACCAAAGGTAAACGCGATCGGGGATCCGAATCTCTAATCGATCTCTGAAAATTTTGAGTTTGTTTTTCAATTAAAGAATTTTTTTCGAAAGGGAAACCATTTTTTTTCTAAAAGCAGTTTTTATTGAAAAACACTTTCGAAGGCAAATGTCATATTTTTCTAAAGTCATGTTTTCTGAAAAAGTTACTCTTTATTGAACAAGAACGTTTTGAATAATGGAATGGTTTTAGTAAAAACCGGTGTGTTTTTTCAGTCAACTGATATTTACATATATTATAAAGATTGAATGCGAAGTTTTGAGGTACTGATTACAGACTGTAATTCCTTGATCCCGAAGTTCTTTAGTCAAGGTTCATCTAAAACCGAGTTCTTGCGTAAAGTAGCCGCCTCATAGCCAGCTCCCACGCGACCAGGGAGTGTAGAGGGGTGTACACCCCCCAATAATCGAAAACTTTGAATTTTTTCCAGCGAACGGTGCTGAATGTTTACTACGTTTCACATTACCTCTACGGTATTTTTTCGAAAATACTCTCTTACATCCTCGCCGCCCCCCCCCTCCCCCCCCCCTAAATTTTCGGTCCTTCGCGCGGGACCTGATTCTGTGTTATCATATTAAAAATAAATCTGTTTGTCACGATAAAGTAAAAAGTTCATTTATTATTTTAACATGAAAAAACCGATATTCGATTAATAATGCAAATGTTTAATATTTAAGAGATATGTCTAAATTATTTTCTGAATGACAAAAAGAGATGCTAATCTTGGCATTGTTTTGCTTGGATAAGTCACTATGATAATATCTATTTTGTACTGTTTACGAAAATAGGCAAAGACCGATATCACTTATTGATTTTTATGTATTAAGGCAATACTACATGAGATTTAATTCAATATCTAGTTAATCAAAGAAATGTAGAAATCTATTATGATAAATTTTATTTTTGTTTTTTGTGAAAATTTTCGATCTTATACGATCATTATCAATCAGTTTAACAGGACTGTAGATGTTACAAAACACAAGCAGAAAAAAGGAAACAAATAGTCAATCACGAAAAAAAATGGAAAAGATGAACATCATAAACATGAACTTCTAAACTCTTATTATTGAATTAAATCTCATTTAGTATTGCTTTCATAAATAATTATTACATATTAAGTAGAACTAGAAACATGACTTATATAAGTGACGTATATAGGTACTCAGAATAAACTCATTCATGTTTGATAATAACTCAATTAATAAATGATACCTTATTATTAGTTACATTGTTATGTTACTTATTTTTAAACATATCATTGATTTCACTTATGTTATTAATTTTCATTATAATGTTATTAATTTGCATTATTATG